TGTATGGGTAATAATTCCATGATTGCAAGGATCTTTTCCAATGATTCCATGTTAATAATCAACTTTGAGCACTTTGGAGTCCTGAGTATGCTCGAAGTTCCTCATATAGGCAGAGGTGCTGCCCAGGTAGGAAAGTAATGATAAATTCCCCTTTAATATCTGACCTCCTCCCAGGCTTTCCTCATCTCTGCATCTTCCCCAGGTCTTTATTCCAATATTTCAAACCTCTCAAGAGTTTCAGACAGCCATAGAAATGTAGTCAACAGAGAAATATTTGCTCTTTCCTACCCCAAGTGTGCAATTTCTGCACAGGGTTTTTTAGGTTTGAGACCCAGGTCAGGTCAAGATGAAGTTTGGGTGAGGGCCAGCTTTTCTGAACTTAAGATGTCACAGCTTGGACATTTACTGCCTCTGGAGTGAGAAATGAGACACTCACAGGTTTGACTCAAAAGAGGTAGAGGTGCTGAGCTTGACCTTGAAATCCCTGGTCCACTCCAGGTACTCCAAAATTTCATCTTGCTAATTAAAATTTGGCTTCTAGTGCATTTATAGCATTTGGCTCTAGAGGTGAACAGATTAAAAAACTGTCCTTTTTCACTAAAACCCAGAAACATTTCCCAAATCATTAAAATTAATGCCTCTGCTTGATTCACAGAACCCACACAAAATATCAGACCAAGCTGTGGCACACAGGTAACTTTACTGTATTTTCTGTTTGCCCTGCCAGCACACACTCCTGATGTGTGCTAACAAACACACACCCACACAGAACCACACTTCCCTTCAGAACACAGAACTCTAAAACACATTAAGACAATTCCAGGCTTTTATTCCGTTTTTTCTGCAACTTTTATTACAAAGCCACAGACACACTGTGCCGTTCTGTCTCCTTTGATGTGTTCAGCTATTGTATTTTTCACCAAATGAAAACCACAGAACACTTTTTATCTTCAATGTCTGATAAGTTTTCAGTTCGAAAGGGGCCGACCACAGAAAGATTGTCCATACAAACTTAAAAAATGCCATGCACGTTGGTAGGCAAAGCCATGTTTGATCTGTAATGCAAATAAAATTAACAAAGATAGTGAGTTTTAAGGCTAAAATTCCTTTGATCTTTGAAGCTCCATGATTTTAAAAGTACAACTGCCTTCTGTATCACAGCCTGGCATGTACATCTATATGCCTATATGCATATGTATACAAGTACATAAAACAAAAAATCTTCTCTGTTCAACATAGGGTCAGTTACTACAAAGAAGACAATGGTTTTCTTTGAACACCCTCTATTTAGGAATGAAGATGCATCCAAATCTTTTCCCACTGAATAAAAACACATTCATATATGTGTGGCCTGGTTGAATTTATTTAAACTATGGAAGACTTTGCAATATATGCAAGGCACAATCAAGCCCTAAAATTCAGTGGCATGCAGTAGGGCTTGGGACAGAGTGACTCAGAAAAGGTTTTAGAGGTACGTTATGAAGGAAAAATAATTCCTCAAAAATATGAAATCCACCCAGGCACAGCAAGCCAGTGCAAGGCCCAGACAAAAAACACAGCCCCTCCTAAACAGGGCATGTGATGGTATTTCCCTGGGGGGAAATCTCACACCATTTCTGGTGGTCAAGGTGGAGCAGATAGCCAAGGCAGGATGAAATCCCCACACTTTCTGCAAATCAAAACCTTTGTAGCATCTCTCATGGTGCATCCAAAACCAGAGCTGCCTTCTCAGTGCCACAGCCAAGAGCTGCAGCTGCCCTGTGCTGATGCATCGTCCACGTGGGGCAGTTTAATGCAATGTTTGCCTTTGGAGAGCTCTGTCGGCAGCACTAGAGATTTATCTTTGAAGGGCAGGAAGAAGCCACTCCTTCCACTTGAGCCATCTGACAAAATGTGAAGTTTTTGCCTGCATGGTACAGCACGAGGGAGCTGGGGCACAAAGGGCAGAAGGCACTGGTGGAGAGTGCTACACACAGCCTGGAATTCTGTGCCATATGGTAAATACAGGAGTGCTTCTCTTAACCCACCAACACCCTCTGAGGCTCAGAGACAGAGCTGCCACTTGAACTGGAGCCATTAGAAAATCCCTCAGGGTTTGCTTAGGGCTGAACCCCACAAACCCAGCGCTCACCTCCACCTCTGAAGCTGGTGTCAGTGCTGCTCACACACCACGGCTCAGAAGTGTCTCCTTGCTACAAGACTGGCCCAGAGAGCAGGGAAGGGCCATGGGATCCCAGGGGAATTCTGCCCTTCGCCATGCCCCTGATGCTGCTGGAGTGTGCAGGAGTTTGGGACATACTACAGTGCAGCAAGTAGCTTCCCACAGGCACGAGATATGAGATGTACTCTTTAGTATCTCTCATGGAACCATTCACTTAACTGTCTTGTTGAAATAAAGGAAATGCCCTTAGTGTATAGAGGCTTTTTTATTTATTTTTTAAAATTAATGACTCACTATACTTCAGCCATTAAGAACTCCTGCCTAAATCATGCCTTATATCAGTGCTCACACTTAAGCTGCTCTCAGCCCTCCCTGAAGCTGAGAGGATGCATATAAAGATATCCTTAATCTAAATTTTAGGGATTTCATAAATTTGTGTCAAACCCTCCTGCTGAAAAAATACTAGTTATCAATGGGCTGCTTTATTACAACCTCTACAGGAGGACCATAATGAAGGATGGTCTTCCTCTAGGGGTTATTACATGGATAACCTACTCCAAAGGCAAGAAAGGGACTTTTTGGACAGAATGTATTGGTGAAGAAAGCAGGAGCTGACGTGTTTCACTGAATCGGGGCCCCATCTCGTAGCACCACGGCTGAGCAAACAGGGAACTGTTTGGTTTGCTGGTGATTCAAACAAACCACCAGAAAAAATCACTGCGGGTCAAAACAGAACAAACATCTCCACAAATGTTCAGAGAAAAGCAAAGCCTAAAGCACAGCTTTGTTTCAAATTAAATAAAGTGTTTCACTTCTAAATGGAGCAGCTGGTTTGGTGACAATCTCTTTCATGGAACAGGCTTGAGAAGGAAGTAAATCCAAACTTAAAAATTAGCATGTTTCAAATTTTCTTATTTTCTCTTTTTTTTTAACCATCAAACTCTAAATGGAAAGAATAGAAACAGTTGCATCATTGCTGAACCTGCCTTCCCCAAAGAAAATGTTGGCCCCTGAAGAGCTGGGTGCCTCTCTGTGGTGTGCAGCAGAAGAGAGGTTCAAGCCCCTCTGAAGGGGAGCAGCTCCTGTGTTCTCTCCTCACTGTGCCCAGCTCACCCTCCACTGGCTCCCAAAGCAGCTGTAGTTACAAATTAAGTGTTTCACCTACATTTCATGATTTCCCCTTCCAAGCACCCTGAGGCCAAAGTTCTTTCTACAGCCTCACAAATTATTGTGCTTTGATTTACAAAATTTTCTTTAAAAAACCCAAGCCAACAAACCACTCCAGGTCTGGGCTTAAAAAACTAATGAATCATTCTCCCCATAGCCCCCAGAAATGCACAGTGAAACAGTTTTCCCTGTGAGAGAAGAGCTCTGCTGCTGAAGAAGGCTGGGGTCCATGAGAAGTGATCTGGCCACTGCAGACCCCCACAGTCAGAACACAGACAGTGGAAAAGGTCAGTTTCTGATGGACAGGATGGCACCAGCAGCACCTGGGGTGGCAGGAGATGACACCTGGCTAGTGTGAAAAGGCATAGAGACAGCTGGCCTCCAGGTTCGGAGAAGCACAGTCGGTCACAAGCTACATCAAGTGTGTTCTGAGCATGGCATCTACAGAACCTGAAAAAAAAATCTTTATTTTCTTTGATCAAAAATACATATAGAAATGCCTGTTTTGAGGAAAATATCATACATTTTTTTTTGTTTAACAAAATAAATTAAATATACATGACTTCTGTTTAAACTCTATATAGAATTACAAAGGTTTTATATTTTGCAATTGGATTCATTTCCAGTCCATATAGGTATTTAATATGGTCCTTATTTATTTTCTCTTCTTTCTGTTTTTACTGTTGCTTGAACTGCAATGTTTTATCACTTACGAAGTGATATCTGAGGGGAGGGGACACCACACACAACCTAGGTGGATATTTCTCAAATGCAATTTTTTCCTACAAGATTATTTCACTCTCTTTGCTTCTTACTATTTTTTCTAATGCTTTCACGTATTTTGCATTGATGCATAAAATCCAGTAGCTTGTCACTCTAAGCCATCAGAGAAGGACAGTGTGTTTTGCTTTCGTCACCATCAGCAGTTCAAATATTATTAATATTATTATTATTATTTCTTAAATATAAATATAAAGATGTTCTGTACAATGTTCCTCTTTCCTTCTTTCCTTTTTCCTGGCAGTGGCACTGAGTCCTACGACCAGAGGAGCGGAGCTGATCTGCAGAACATCCCATGAGAAACAAGATGCCTTCACCTTGCAGAAACTGAACCAACCAGCTTGGTTAGCTGATTGTGCTGACCACAACTGAGAAGCACATGGCATTTCACCTCGTGAACAGAAATTGGTTTTTTCAGACCCTCTTGTGTTATTTGCTTTCCCTGGAAGAGATGAATGGGTTATGCCTCCTGGTGCTTTGGCACTAAACCTCAGGTACATTAGAGCTTGAGTCACTCAGAGCAGGAGAGGTCTGGGGGTTTCCCACCAAACAAGTGATGCCCAGCAGGCATCCGTGCCCAGCCAGAAAAGTACCACACACACCTCCTGCTCTACCTGCTCCCTTCAGTAACACAAGGAAGGAGGTGGTGGTTCACATCCCTGTGTCCCATCTCACTTGTTGCCACTTTAATTAAAATATCCAGGAAGGCTCTGCTGCTGGAGACAGCTGCCTCTCTGCTGTGCATTGGAGTTCCTTCATTATTCCTCGGCTACATCCTGATTGCAATAATTAAAAAAAAAAAAATCTCTTTTCTCTCTGTGTCTTTCTCTATTATATATATATTTATATAGATAGATATAGATATATACACATATATATATACACACATACACACACGCATATACAATTATATATATATGTATATATATATATTTAAAATTACATATATAACCTTTTCTGTCTGCTTTGCCTGTTGCTGGCAGTGCTGAGCTGACTCGGAGCAGTCTCTGCTGAGGTACCACGAGGAAAAGCCCAAACGAGCCACTGTACACGGGGCCAACCCTTAGCACTGGTACTGGATGTGCTGGTGCTGGTGGACTTTGCCTTCCACGTGCGAGTGGGTGTGGGTGTGGATGTCCGTGTAAATCTTTGGGTACATTTTGGAGGCCATGGCAGGGGCCAGGGCGGGCCCCTGGGACAGTAAATGCTGCTGCTGGGCCACGTACTCCTCGTAGTTTATGGAGGAGATGCAGTCTTTGTCGGGGAGCTGGGAGACGCAGATCCGGTCGCGGGGCGGCGGGCGGTGCACGGGGGCAGCGGCCGGGGGCGAGCAGGGCTTCTTCTTGGACTGGCACAGCCACAGCAGGATGGTCCCGAAGATGAAGACGGCTCCGGCCGGGATGCCGATGATCACGGGCCAGGGCAGGCTGCTGGCCGAGGAAGGGGGCACAGGTGCGCTGGGAGGCTTGGGATCTGGGCATGGCGGCGGGGGAGAGACAGAAAGAGTTAATTACATGCAGGCAAAGTGGATTCGAAACAGATGTCACACTTGGGCTGGCTGTTGTACAGACTGTCTGGCAACTCTGCCAGACCAAGAAATGAGGGGGAAATCAAGCCAGCACATGGTGTTTGGTAACTGCTTTGCTTTTCAGTGCTCCTGGAAGGACAAGCAACTCATTTTCTCTGGTTTCGGGGTCAGGAGGGGAATCTTTGGGGGATTTTATAACTCTCTTATCCAAGCTTTAATGCATGCACACTAGAGCCAGCCTGAGAGAGTTTCCTAACCCTCTCACTCTGTGACAGAATGGGCTTTGCTGCCAACTGAAGAACACAGCACAGGACATGTTAGTAAAACTCATTGCCACCAGGCCAGGAGGCACAATCAGGTTGCCACAGAGCTGCAGCATGCTGCCCACCAACCTCTGCCAGGTGTAACTCTGCCTGCAAGGGCTTCAGACACTCTCTGGAAATCCTGTCTAGCAATCCTGGAGCTACCCAGCAGTGTTCCACCACGGCAGGGAGAATGAATGTGGGGTTTTGGAGGTGTTGTCTTGACTTTCTTATGTGGTTGGGAGGAAGGCTGAAGGATGGGAAAAATGTAGGGGAGCTGGTGGCCCCTCCTTGGTTCCCAAGCCATGGAGAACTGAAACTTCTTTCAGCATTGAAATATGTCCCCAGCTTCCTACCCCAAATGGGCTCCACCAGTCTCTTTAGAGCTGCTGCTGACTTTTCAAGGGCAGTAAATTTAGCTACTGGAGGAGATAAGATGCTTTAGACATCATCTTTCACAACTACCTCCTCCTTTATCTCTCTGCAGTTGGCAGTCAGTGTCTATTCCTGGATAGCCACTTGAGTTTTTCAGCCTGATCTCCTGATTTATAGACCCAAAAGGAGTCCTGGGGTAGGATTCTAGCTGTGAAAATCCTTGTCTAGATAGCTACCAGCTGGAATATCAAATGCCCTGAAACATACCCAGGCACAGAATTCAGCTTGCAGGGAGACATCCAGAAAACCTCCAAAACCACAGGCTGTCTTAATCAATCAGTATGTTATATTCAAACACCTATCACTTAACTTTCAAGCTAAACTTTTTTAAGACACTAATGTCTTTTTCTCTCCTTGACAAATAATCCTATGGGTAGTTTGAAATGTTAAATATATAACATGTGGTCTCTTTGAAGTTAGGAGGACCTATACTTTGACCTCAATAGATGAAATTTTGATTCACCAGCTCTGGAAATTACAGGATAATTTAGGCTGGAAGGCAAGTCTGGTCCAGCCTCCTGTTAAAAACATGACATGATCAGAGAGTTGACCCATCAGCTGACCATGAAAACAGAAGTCTTCATGCTGGTTGGCAGAAATCCTATGCTGGGCTGAAAAGAAAGTGTTTTGATATTCATCCATGTTCCTCAGAGCTGTCAATGTCAAATCTGGTAGATTTACAAGCAGAATGGTCTTTTTTTAACTCATGGCTTTACAACCACATCTTTGCATCTTAGGGCAAGCTGGGTTCTCCTTTTCCATCACTGCCAATATCAACAGCCCTGCAGGCTCTGGTTCTGGCATAAGGCCTCACTGCAGTCCCATTTAAATCCATGGAAAGTCTCCCCCTGATTTCAATGGGAGCTGGATCAGACTCTCATCGCTCAGAAACTCCCAGAGGCTTTGAGTTATATCCCACCCATGCTGCTTTTTCATTTTATTTACAGTTAGAGTATAGTCCTTAATGTTTATCAGGGTAGAACTGCAATAGGCAGAAGACAAAGGAGCAAATGACCAGGCAAGGATGGTGGGTCTCAAACACAAATGATAAGAGTCTCTGCTGGATGTGGCCACCAGCTCTGAGTTCTGGGGAGGGAAGGCAGCAGCTGTGTACAGGGGCCCCAGGGGACCATTGGATAAAAATTTAACTAATCAATCATTCTGGTTTTCACACTCATTCATTTCATTTCTTTGTTACCCAGACAGTTTTTATCCTTCCCTCATTTTATGGGCCTGTGTCATTATTTCCTTTTACCAGTAAAAGCAATATAAATAAGGGCAAGAGAAAGGAGGAATTTTAGGGAATGAGGTTGCAGACTGTGCTGTTATTCAGTTCCCCTCTCCCATCCTGCAGCCTGTCATGAAGTGATTTAGTATCTGCAACTGTAGTATCTTTTCCCAGCTTGCTCCTCTCTCATACAGGAGTAGGTAATTCCATGTATATCACCTGGATGACTGAGAGGGGCCTCAACAATGTCTGTAAGTATCTGCAGGGAGGTGTCAGAGCATGGGCCAGGCTCTGCTCCATGATGCTGAGCAATAAGAGACAAAGAAAGGGCAAAAACTGATGCCCATGAAGTTCTACCTGAACATGAGGAAGAACTCTTTTACTGTGCAGTGAACAGTGAGCACTGAACAGATTGTCCAGATAGGGTGTGGAGTCTCCCTCACTGGAGATATTCCAGAACCATCCTGACACAACCCTGTGCCACATGCTCTGGATTGACTCTGCTTGAGCAGGGAAGTTGGACCAGATGACCAACAGTAGTCCCTTCCAAGCCAACCCATTCTGTAACTCTGTAGTTATTCCCCACAAAGGGAAAAAAGGAAATAACATCAACAGGATTTCAACAGGGACTGATTTAAATCAGGGCTGATTCAGTACCCCATTCATTCTTATCAGAACTGGGCTAGCCTAAATCAGCACAGAGGGCCAGGGAGCCAATGGGCAACAGTTGAATTAATAAATTCCATGCCACGGATGACTGATAACAGAGGGGGGAAACATCACAACTCACCTGGCAGGACTGTGAGAAAAGCACTCCGGAAGCTGTAGCCCATGGTGTTTGCCCCGAGGCAAATGTACATCCCTGCATCCTCCTCCTTGGCTCGAGTGATCATCAGTTTGTTCAGGTAGGAACCGTCTGGGCGGGACCAGACCTCCCCCGTGGGCAGCACGACGAACTTCTGCCCCCCGACATCGATGGTGGAGTTGTACTTGCTCTCCGTGCCGTACTCCACCCTCTTCAGCCACTGGATGACGGGTTTGACGTCGCTGCGCACTTTGCACTGGAAGGATGTGGTCCCACCGTAGTCCACCGTGGTGTTGACGGGGTGTGTCCCTGTCAGGATGGGCTTGGACCTCGTCCTCTCTGCACAGAAACACAGGGAGCTCATGGGCAAAGGTGTTTGCTAACCTCAGTAGCTTGCAGTTGCAGAAACATAGGGAAAATGTGTAGGAGGGATGCAAAATCACAGTCTAGTCCAACTCCCTGCCCCAAGGCACACTGAGATTTCTGCAGACCTCTCCTGATGCACATTTTTCCAGCCTCTTGCCAAAGCCCCCAATAGTAGATGCTCTCCAGTCTCTCCAAACAACTCCTCCATTGTCTGAGGCTTTAACAAGTCTGTTCTCATGCTCAACCTGAATCTTCCTGTTTATAACAAGGAAGTTGTTTTCTACCTGCAGCAGACCTGGAGAAAAGGATGATTTTCCTCTGAGCCCTTATATTTTGAAAGAGGTTCACAAGACCATCCTTTCCAGCATGATCATAAGTCTAAGGTTGTGTCAACACCACATAAAGTGAAAGGAAATATGTATGCCTCATTCTGAGGAATGTTTGGATCTTTTTTAGTGTTAGGATCAGATAAATCAGTCACAGTTTCCAGGCAAGGAGGTACTGCAAACCTCTGTCCTAGGCACAGGAGAAATTATGGTATCACTGTGGGTGGTAACTGCTGGCAATCATCAACTCCTTTTGATGGCAAACACTGTTGGATTGAGCATGCAACAAAACAGCTCCCACCAGCACTGGCTTTAGAGTGAAAGGAAGGAACAATGGACCCTCTTTCAAAAACTCGAGATACTTTCAATATTGAGGGCTCTAAAGATGTGCTTAGGAAACAAAAATACCACAGTAGTCTCTGTAGGCTTTGCCTTTGGACTGTGAGCAGCAATCACAGCCGGGGAGACTGAGATTCAGATAAGCAGGACTTAGGAGTAGAGGCTCAGGGGGGAGGAAAAAAAAGGAGGAAATTGAATAAAACCTGTAATGCTCCACAGAATGATGTTAAAAATAGAAAGATGTCTGAAAACTGCTTAATGCCCTTATCTCCTTGACTCTGGTTCCAGCTTTGGTTACTGTTTTCACTCCTAGCCAGCAAAAGCTAATGAAAACAAAGGTTACATACATCTTTAAGTTGATAAAAACCAAGATAAACAGGGACACAGAAAGGGGTTTGTTCCTGGTGCTGTCTGGTTTTGATGAAGTGAAAATGCCACAGCTGCCATTAGGATGGGGCTTGATTCATTTCCCTGCCTCTGCTCCTGGTTTTAGTGTAAACACATGTTTTTACTGTCTCCACACAGCTGCATCTTTATCAATCCCAGATGTCCAGCAGGTTTGTGCCTTCAGAGCCCAACAGAGCTTCCCACATGTGCTTTTAATTCCTGTGATTCTAGGGAAAGGACTTATCAAAGAACAGATCTTTACCTTTAAGAACAATCTTTCTCACTGGGATAAACTTTCTCATGCTAAAATGTATGCACAGACAAACAACATGCTTTCCAAGGGGCTGGAAATAGCTCTCCATGCCCCTGCTCCTCATTAATGAAGGCTATTCAATCTTCCCTCCACTCAGCTCATCTTCTCTTTCTTGAGTTGGCTACTCTGTAATCATTTCCATGACAACTTATGATGATGTCATTGGCAAAGCACAATGATTTAAGAATAAGAGCTCTTCTCTGGTAAACCTAGGAAGAATTTGAGTATAATTATCCTCAGCAATAATAGGGGAAACAGAAGATTAGAGAGCAAGACTCAGAATAGCTATCTAGTAAGAAGAACAATTTACCTTGCCACAATGAAGGGTAATCCCCCACAGCTCATCTTCTGAGGATTGAATCTTTAAAGCTATGTAGGCATCTAAAGATACAGACAGGATCCTTGCAGATTTTTTTAAGGTTTGGTTTGGGTTTTTTTGGTAATTCATTTCTACCTGCCTGGACCTTCAGATGGCCAAACATTTTTTAGAATCTGGCCCTAAACCTTGTCTGGCTAGTCATTCTAATAATGAGATTTCTTGGTTTTCAAGTTTCCCTTGAGAAACTTCTCGACTCAATTTCAAATTGACTGGTTTCACCCATTCTGACATACTAATCCTAGACATTTCACCCCCTCTCCCATGGTACTTGAAAGGACTTTCTCTGTTAGCTCTCTGTCCTTAAAATGATTCTCTTCTGGAAGACTGAGCTGGGCATGACTTTCACCATGCAGTTGCCTGTGGAGGTGATTATTTCCCAAGTACCTGTCCTCATTTCAGCTCCTAAATTGTCTTCTTGCTACTCTGTCTTGCCCAGGTCTCAGGCTCATTCTAGAGTTTCAGCAGTGTTTTTCCTAATGTTTTTAGCACTTCCCCATTTCCATGTCCAGCTATCAACGCTGCACCCTTGCCACCCCACACTGTCCTGACTGAGCCAGCCCCTTCTCCAAGGCCCCTCTCTGCTCTCCCTCCCGGAGCCGCACTTACGGATCACTTCGACTTTGTACGTTGCGTTGATTTCTCCAACTTTGTTGAACACCCGGCAGGTGTACTTCCCGCTGTCCTCTGGCTTCAGGTTCTTCAGGTTCAACGTCCACTTCTTCTTCTTGTTCTCCCCAATCTCCTGGGGAGTGAGGGGCTTGTTGTCCTTCAGCCACGTGATGTCAGGCCTGGGGTTGCCGCTGGCCACGCACTTGAGGCGGATGGAGCTGCCCACGGGCCGGGCGATCACTCTCCGCCTCATCTTGGCAGGCTGGGTGAACCTGGGCCGGGCTGCAAAAGGCATCAGAATGGACTGTGGTGAACACAGGACATGAGCAGAGAAGGAAACTTTTTAAGGTTTTGGTCAGATTTGCTTGAGAGGCAGCCCCATACATACCAGTGTATCACTCTCCCTCATATCAGCTCAAACTGTTTTCCTTAGAAGGGATTCACCACCCAGCCCAATGCATTTGAATGTCAGTTGGACCGCTCTGGCCACTGCATTAGCCTTCTGCATAGCACAGTCCCAGAATTTCTGTGTCTGTAAGGCAATTGCACCAGACCATCTCACAAAATAATACCAAAATCATGCTATTGCAGCTGAAGGCAAAATGCGGCCCCATAATCACACTATAATTGTTACCATATTCCACAAACTCCTTGGCCAAGACCAAAGGAAAAAACTCAGATTCCTGTCACGCTGACCATTTTCTCAATTTTTTGCTTGTTACATGAAGCTTAATTTCCTGAAGATGTTTTGCCTCTTGGTTCTCAGTGGCTTTAAAGGGACTTAAGAAGATTCAGCATCTTTTACATACATAGGAAAGTCTTAGAAGTGTGACAGACTTTTGTACATTGGTTTGAACTCAAATCTGTGCTATTCATTCAGCTCCAATTTACAAAACATTCATGTTGAATGGTCCAAAGAAGTGAACAAAAAAATGGAAAGACCCAAAAAACTTTATGAGCTTGTTATTGGAGGATACCCGTGCCAGTCCATCCCAAAACTCGGGAATCCGAAGCAATAGCTGCTGGTGGATAGAAGCGTGGGTCATCTTGTCTTAGCAAAGAAATCACCAGTATTTCTTAGAGTACAGAGACAAGAAACTTAAGAGAAATGCAAGGCCCTCACCTGGCAAAATCTGAAATTTAATGAAGAATTTAAAAGTAATAATAAATTTCTCACACTTACTTTAACTATGCCAGTCCAGGGGCACTTCTAACTAAGTCTATCATAGAACTGTAAAAGTTGGAAAAAACCTCTAGGATTATTGAGTTCAACCATTAATCTAACACTGCCAGCTCCACCACTAAACTATGTCCCTAAGCAGCACATCTACATGCTTTTTAAGCATTTCTAGGGATTCCCTGGCTAGCTACAGGATGGCCTAGTGGAACTTCCTACTTGACAGCCAGCCTTGCTGCCCAGGGCTGAGGGCCAGAAGCTCTGGGATGTGCATTATAGTGGAGCTTTCCTGAATGGAAGAGACTGGTCTGCAGCTTCCTATCTCCAAGCACTGGGGAATGGTAGCCATTGCCCTCTGAGGTTTGTGAGCACACCCCTTAGCCCTCACCCCCCTGCAGCCTTGGCCAGCATCGCTCCCTGTGGAAGAGGACACCCTCTGGCATAACCCTCTCCACAGAGTTCTTTTCTGCAGGGGGAACCATCTGTCTCCACAGCCTTCCCTTGCCCCCCTTGGCTGTCCTTTTGGGTCCCAGCCATTTCATGTTATTTCAAACTCCTGCTCAGAAATGCTTTGCTCTCCATGCAGAGGCTTTCATGTGTAATCCAAAGAACCGGAGTAACTCCGGCACTGGAAGTCTTTGCCGTGACAGCTGAGCAGCAAGTGTGACATACTGACCCCTCCACAGGTCGTGATGCCTGCATTGCTGGGCTCTTGGGGGTCTGCTGCAGGAGCCCCCCCACAGCAGACACAATCCCCTCCCTGACACTGAGAGCCCTGTCAGAGCTGCACACTGTGGGCAACGACATCCCAAATTTTCATCTGAGCCAAGGGAGAAGTGCTGATAAGGGCTGTCACTGTGGAAATTCAGAAAATGTCTGCAAGGCTCATGGAGAGGTCAGGAATCAGCCATGCAATGGGTCTGAACAGTTACTCTGTAATATGGCAGTAATTTACTCTGAGGCTGGGAACTCCAGGTCTAAGTAGAGGAGAGATCCTCATGGACAGGATTCCTGAGCTGGGACTAACATACCAAAGGGCAAGTTGGAGGCAGGACAGTCACACTTCCCCAGCAGATTGAAAGTCAAGTTAATGACTGAACTCTCAGAAGGACTTGCTGGCATCCCTGTTCAGTAAGGGCATTTTAAGACAGAAACTCTTTCCACCCAAAAAAAAAAAGGCAGGTCTTTAACATTTCTGGTTTTCCTCCTACTGTGACTCCCATGAGTCTGTGTGGAATTCTGCATTCACTCCTCGCACATGGTTGCCCAAATACATACTAAACTACAGGTAAAGCTACACTCCTTTGGATCTTTCAGCCTTTCTTTCTTTCTCTTTCTGTTTAAAAAAGGTTAAGTGATTATGTGGTCTCAAAAGCTACTCCAGGCTGTGTGCAATATGCTGAAACCAGATCCCATTTACACAGTCCTGAATGTTTCCTTGACAAAAGCCTGAATTGGACAAGTTTAGAAAAGCCAGTTAACAAAAAAAGGAGAAAGAGAGAGAGAGAGAGAGACACATTAGAGAGAAAAAGAGACCCAGCAAGCACAAAGGAGAAAGAAGAGAAGCAGCACTGTGAGAGACAAGCAGAAAAGGTCTCTTTTGAGTTGATGCTAAATGTCTGTCCCCAAATCTGTTCCATTTACAGAAGTTTTGCTTGTTGGAGTGCCAGCAAAGGCAATTACAAAGTGCCTCTGTATTATTCACATGCTTGTTCTCCTCCACATCACTTGGCATTTGCTTCATAAACATGACCACACATTTGTACAGTATAAATTATGTTCCACTCAAGAGCAAGGGAAAACACAAGTGGATGGGGACAAAGAGACAGTGTCATGTACAGGTTCCTGGCTGAAATGCTGTTTACCATGAAGATTTATTCAAAGCTAATGAAAATTAAATGCAATGGAAGCCTATCAGAACAAAGACCTGTGAAGGAATTCAGTGGTGTCCTCTCCCTGAGGGACATCTTGTGAGGCATGGATCAGTCCCTGAGGCTCCTGTCAGACATTGCTCACACAAAGTGAAGTGATTATCTGAAAAATGTTGTCTGCTGTGATGCACCACCATTACTCCCACATAGTGACAGTCACTACCACTTCCAGCTTTTATGATAATTACAAAAAAAGTGTCACAATAGCTCTCCTCAGAGATACCTCTCTATGGTGGTAGATGGAAAGTAAAGTGTAGCTTTTTTTTTCCACCATGCTTCTCCTCTCACACTTTTCCAAAGGCCCAGAACTGTGAGAACACAAACTGCTTCTTCACCCATCATCCTCCAGAGACCTGCAGACACACACTGACCCTCCCTTCACACCAGCTCACACCAGCAATTTACTGGTGAACAGTGCTGGATGGAAAGGGCTGGGTGGGTGCATGGCTGGCCCCAGGCATTTCTCTGCTTGGGGAAAGGGAAAAGGAGACAGGAGGGATGAAAAGAAGAAAAAGCAGAGGTTGAAGAACACTGCAGCACAATGGACTGGTCTAGGGCAGGACAGAGTAACACACAATCTGATACAAGATTGTCAATGCCTAATAATTTTAGTAGGGCTTACATCTTTTCTTCATAGTATTATTGTTGTATTGTTGTATTGATCCATCATCCAGCAGCTCTGCCAGAAGCACAATGGTAATCTAAAGTGGATAGATGTCAGCTTTGTATTAGCTGCTGAACCCCTCCTGAAGTACTCCTGACCTGTAGTTTATCTAAGACACTGTTCCTCCAGCTCTGAAATGTTGTCATCCCTCTCCAGAATGAGTGGAGGTTACCTTTCTCTCCCCAAACAAGCTCAGTCTGAAATAAATATGTACTTCAAGTGTAGCCTGAACTAAACCACAGCACACCACATCCCTGTTTGCCAGCTGCTGAAGAAAACTGGTCTCAGCTTAAGTGGTGGGGACCCACACAGCAAAAGCTTGTCAGGTTCCACCCCTACCACTACTGTGAGGTTCTCCCTGGCCACAAATGTGGTACAAAGCCATCACTGTATTATAAAATTAAAGAGAGAGATGTACTGCACGAGCAAAATGAAATGCTAAGTTTCATCCCCTGAGCTCATAAACTCACATCACACTCCTGTCAGTAATGGCCAAAAGCTGTTTGGCATCAGCCTGACAACTTATTGTCCTTCGAGGAGTGCTTGGACCAAACTGGGCCTGCAAGTCTTGCAGTGATTCAGAGCCTGTTCCAAGTGAGATTTTAGCAGTTCCCCAAAGCTCTGCAACAGCTACAAAATCATATCCTGAACAGTCCATGGCTTGGAGAAGCTCAGGCAGGTGTCTGAAAGAGACGGTGATCTTAAAAAATACTCATCTTGGCTTAGTGCTAATTCTCCTGAAGTGAAGTCAGACCTCCCATTTGCCCTTAGTGGGAGCAATGTTATGTTGGCACTGAAGACTTTTGGAAATATTGCTGTAAAAGTCAATATGCTTTTTATAGGGAGTCTATGAAAGCTGTAAGAGCTGCACATGCAAAAGAGAAGTCACTGCCCAGAAAAACAAATACAAGGGAGAACCATGCTGGGGTATATGGCAGGGGGCCCTCGGGCCGACCACAGGCTGCATTTTGCAGGACCCTTGGATGGGATCCATTCACAGCAGCACATTCAGCTGACACTCTGTTTATTGTTTGACCAGATGTAGGGAGAACTCGCTCCAGTCACTCTGCCTTTCCTCTCCTTCAGCAACTGAGAAACAGGAACAGCACTGAACCAAGGGCCGAGGAAAACCACAAAACACACACTGCTCCTTACCCCACTGCTTCCCAGAATGATCTTCATATTCTCCATTGGAGCCTTCAGGCACCTGGCTGTCCTTTCCTGAGCTGGCATCATCTGTGCAGGAAAGGAAAGGGAAGATGTTAAGAAGGTTTCCTGCAGCACAGCAGGATGACAACAGGAGTTTGCATTTCCTGCTGGAGACACCATGCAGCTGCAGCAAACTCAACATACAGTAGGCATCCACATCACTCTGGCCAGTTTAACAAACAATTCCATTTTCTGCTTTATGGGCTTTTCGGCAGGCTACCAAATCAATGGGAGTTTAATCAATGTTGCCATTAATAGCTGACAAAAGCCTCTCTGTTTAAGTTTACAGGTCGCTGTTCCCTCGGAGGAGTGATCTGTGGTACCATCTATGCAAATAATGGCATAAATCAAAACTAAAGATAATTAAACCTTGGAAAGATTAAAAAATTAAACCTAGGGAAGACTTATGTGATCAGTCATAGAGAGCATAAGCAGTATGATTGTGGCCACTAATTCACCCTTCAGCTTCCATACAAAATCTGAAAAGCAAGCAGGTCTGGAGTCAAATGAGCTCTCAAAGGGATACTGAACGCAGATTTATGGCTGGCAAAAACAATATTGATTTGAAAAGCTGCTTGTATTTCTTTTTAATTAAGACCACCCATCCACCTACATCAACACGCCACTTTGTCCCTCATCACTCTTGTTGTCTATATCACTACCACACAGCAGCACCAAAATCTCAGCTCTGCCCTGGAGAAATAGAAATCCCTACAAGGTGAAACCCCCATCTCTCCAGCAGCCCCCACCTCAAATTGCCACAGTGATATGGCCACCTGTGAGGTCTCCAGGAGGGCCAAGGGGGCAGGAGAGTTCCCTGAGCCTCCTTTTACAACCTGGGTGATTCTGGCAGCCTCACACAAACACAGCACCCAGATGTGAGAATTTTTCCTCCTCCAGCTTGACCTCCACTGCATGAGTGCTGAGCTCTGAGCAGCCTCGGATAGAGCAATGGCTCACACCAGGAGGGAGGTCACCTGAGGCACTCTGGGCACCCTCACATGATGGTGCAGTAAAATACATTCTCTTCTAAGGTGACATCTGTTTTAAAAGGTGGCACAGCCCCAGAGTGCAGCTGGATTTGAAGTAACAATCTCAACCAAGAGCTCCTTAGTTTCTACCTAAAGTGCACTGAGGTGGGTGAAATTCGATTTTCAGAGACAGGCCAGGTGAAGACTGGGAAAAAGTTTGCCTCAATGAGGAACAAAATGGTGTAAAATCCCAAAGAAATAAAGAGGAGTGGAAATATCTAATTTAAGGAAGGAATCCCTCCAAATGTACAACTCCTGAAACTCATAAGAAAAGGGTCTTGTGAGCAAAAGACAATTATTTCTGTAATCTCTGCAACAGAGATAAAAAACTGGTCTCAACTTATATATAAGCACACTCCCTCCAAACGGTACAAATAGTAAAACTTCTTTTTACAGTTGTTTTTTTACAAGTTGGGTTGTTCTTAAGACAGTATTTAGTGGGTAAATTTGTACGCAGTCTTTGAAAGAGAAGAATGTGTCCTTAACCTATCCTCACCCCAGGTTCTGCTATTTTGGAAAACCATCCCATCTCTTCAGCACAGGGCATTACATGCCAACAGATGCTCTGCTCTCATTAGCCCTGTCCCTTAAGCAGAGACTGCAATGCTACATGAGTTTGTCCCCCCTTGACCCTGAGAGATTTTTCTCTTCTTCTTCTGGCTACTTCAGCACAGTTTCTCCTGGAAATGTATGTTTACAGCTATGTACAGCTGTCACTTCCAGGGGAAAAGAAAACTGTGGGCTGCAATGCCGTGCTCAAAGCTCAGCAGTTCCTCCAGATGAGTGCCCCATCCCACCTCCTGCCACCCTCTGTCCATGCCTGGATACCTTGAGCCTTTCCTGGGTGCCACAGTCACCTCCCAGCCCAAACCATGGGCAGCAGGGTGAAATGGCCCACTCAGGAAACACCAGGCTCACACAGAGCCCGAGTGCCATGCACCACCCAGGCTCTGCCTGCAGCCTGTGTTACAGAGGAGGCCAGTGCATCCTGAGCTGCACTTTGCAAGTTTATTTTTGCAACCATGGCAAACCAAAAGCAGGGAATACAAAAATGCACATTATACATGATGGCTTGCATATGACGTTGTCTCCTCTCAGTCAAAATACCAAATTAACTATCTCCTGGCACTTGTACAGTTTTACCCATAAATGTCCATAGTGTCACAAATGAACTCTTGGATGCTGTCTAACAAGAGAACATAGTAAATCCCTCAGCACATTTATAAAAATATATTGTAATGGAGAGGAAAAATTGCGGTCAGAGATGGGGGGGTTCCTGTCCATTGTTAACTGCTGAATATCATAAAAGTGGTTATGAGATTTAAGTGGCAATATCCTGCCAATTAAACCCTAATCTGCTGAGTTTGGTGTACAAAAGGCAGAGTATCTCCCTTGCCCACTGCCTCATGTTACAGAAAGTCATCCCTGTGCCCTCCTCCTGCGACACACAACCACTGACTGTGGACTCCACACCTCTTGACTTGCTGCCAAGCTTTTGATGTATGGAAAATTGCTCTGAATCCTTTTGATCCTTTGAAGATGCATCCTCAGTTGTTATCCCAACAAATCGCAAACCTGTGGAGTCAACTACCAAACCCAGAAAAAAACTTTTTTGGGGAAAGAGGTCAGGATAATTTATACCACCATGCTGAGCCAATGGAAGAGATGATTTGGTGGACGAGTAAGTGGTATCTCTGGAGGAATAGATGATATGGTGGAGGACTGAAGTAATCAGCCACATTTCAGAATGACTGAAATCAATAACTGCATGCATTTAGACACATTGGTTTAGATATGCTGGAACTTGCTTTGCATGTGTTGGGAACATGGTAACATTAGCAACACTAGCAGAAGTCTTGAGGTGGGGAAATGCCATAAACGTGGAAACTCCCATCCCCAGAGCTGCTCATGGGGTGAGGGATGTTACAGCAGACCCTTCCAGCTGCAATGTGCAGTGAACTGGGCTCCTACTTTCCTTGTATCAGAACAAACTCACACTTGACAGCTGTACCAGAGAGCTGATTCATGACAGCCAGAAACTGGATGGAGCTTATTTGGGGAAGATTCCCGGAAGTCCTCGAGTCTCCAGTTGAACTTAAAAAGTATGAGTGAGGCAGTAGAGCAGCCAGAGATATAAAGTGCTAATCTGTGATGAAACAAAAAAGAAACAAAAACAAAAAACAAAAAAGAGCTGCTTTCTTACTTTGGGGGAGAGATAATTTAGGAACACCCTGAGGATGGAAGGCCCCTGTCTAATCCAGACATCATCAATATTTGACTTCTACCTGCCTCAACCAGTCAGTACTGTGGCTGCATGGAGTTTGTTTCACCCTGCTTTGAAGAACTTTCTTATTTTTTCAATTTTAATATCAAGTTGTGTCCAAGGGTAGACAAACACTTCTATAGTGTTTTACAGGGCTCTGTGATGCTGAAAGCAAAGCTAAATTTCCTGAAAGTTCACAGGCATCTGGTTCAGCCCAAACCTGCAGTCTGAAGCCTGGTTAATAGTGTCAGAGCTGAAGACCTGCTGTTTGCATTTCACTCCAACTGTCACACACACAACTGTCCTGGCAATATTCTTCTTAGACAGAGAGAGGACCTGGGGAAAGAAGCCACATTCAGACATACAGGAGCAGCATACAAAATGGTGAGTTAGTAGCAGAGATCATGAGTCTTAGCTATATTCAAGAAATGACCTAATAAGCTGATTGCTTTATCATGCTCTTGTCAGCTCCCCACTGAGGTGGGCAGCTCGGGGTGATAAGTACATACAGAAAAATCAGGCTGCAGTCAAAGGGCAGCAAGGACCAGCTATGCAGCACTGCCAAATTTGCTGCCAGCAGATTACCATGAGAAGCAGTGCTAAGAAGGATGAACTGCTGAAGTATCCTCCAAGCTCCCTTTCCTGTGACCTCTATTGGAAGGTCATCCTGCACTGGACTTCTTGGACAGTATCACACGCTAAGGATAGCAGCCAGTTGGAATATGAAGTGGAAAACCTGCCTTGAAAAGCAATCACTGACTAATTTTATGTCACGAGTATCTGATGCTAAGAAAACATACACATGATTTAGGTGTTCTTAATGTACAATTTGGCTCCATGGCGTTACAGAGCATGCTGGCCAGTCAAGAAACCTGAAGGGCAAGGTTCCAGTATCGTGTCAGGTGACAGATATGGAGACACGGGACAAGCTCGTGTAGGCCCTTCCCCTCCAAATATTGCACATGGCCATGCAAAACAGGGCCAGGACAGACAGAGGCATCAGCCTACTCTTCAGGAATGTCACCCCAGTGGCATCATCCTCAGCTGTTCTCCAACCATTGCCTCTCCCTTGCCTCGGGATCTCATTCCAAGCTGGCTTTTATGTCTGAGATGCCACAGCATTGAGATGCTGGTGGTGCTAGGGAAGAGTGTGGTGTCCCAAAGCAGGCTGGATTTCTGCAGAAAAGGGATTTCTGTCTGTAACTCCATCAACTGGCAAAGCCCACTGAGGAGCCTATGGGACAAATACTGCCACATCAGTGGGATATGGTTACTGTTTATTACCATAGCAGAATTGTTCCATTCCCTCTTAAAAGTTAAAGCACATGGAAAATTCTGCATAACAATCCATCTCTGAGAGCAACTGATGAGAAATATTCAGATTGTTACTGAGTCAGGATAAAATTTTATTTACCCACAGGCTCTCCATGAAGACTTCATGTTTTAGCCAAAGGGTATGACTGGTTTTCAGGCCAATACCATGTGCTGAGCATCCAACCACAAGTCAAAACAACAGCCCAATTTTTGGAGCAAAAATCTAGCCATCATATTTCCCCATGATTCACAAAGTTGCTTCAATTTGCTATAATGCAAGGCCTGTCCCTGCTCTGACTTGATGGGACCAGCTTTGGAGTCTTTGATGTCAGAGGCCTTGAAAGCCCCATTTCACAGATGAGCCAGCTTTGCATAAATAAACAAAGTGACCTCTGAACTGGAGCCTGAGACCTGAGCAC